GGAATTACAAACAAGTACAAGTAACTACAAGGTGTGTTTTACTTTCATGTCCTCACGAAGTCTCTACTGATTGTTATACGTATTGAAAATAGACAATTTATCGCAATTATTTCGTAAAGTTTTTATTATAAATATTTATTTTGATAGCAGTAGCGACCTCTTTATTTAATTTTTTACTAGCAATAATGTATTTATTAATTAAGAATCTAAAATTGTTAAATAACTTATTGTGTTTAGGCTTTTAGCTCACACGTGAGTGTACCATGTGTGCTCTTAGGAAAAACACGAAGTTCCATCAACAGCAGAGAGCCCGAGTAGAAATAGTGAGCTTAGAGTAACGAATGTATTCTTGTTGTTGTTTTTGTACAGGCACTAGATATTATTTGCACTTGATGTATATTTTGTTTTTTCCGTTAAACAGGCACTAGCCGTACCCGGAGTACGATTATTGTGTATTTTGCTCTTGTATGTATGCAATAGATAGAACATGATCAATGTTCCCTCAATTTTTTTAATTCCATGTGCGGAATGAATTTTTTCATGTGCACTATTATCAAGGCAACGTGTGGATGCGCGCTAGCATTTATTTTAGGGGTGAGTATTTTTAGACCATCGACCCTATTGGATCATTAGGCCGCTTTGCAATACTACCAGTTGGTTATTTAGGCTTTAGGCCTATCGACTGCGAGGGTCATTAAGGCTGTCAACGTGTTGAGACTTCTCACCATTACTGAGGATGTGCGTGGCTGGAATAATGAAGTGCGCGGCACTTAATTGGTTATTTTGCTATATAGGCTTTAGCTATGCTTTTAATTTAATGTATCGTATGTTCTGTTTATTGTTGTTGTTTTTTTATACAGACACTAGCTATGATTAGAACTTGGTGTATTGTATGTTGTGTTTTTATACATGTACGAGCTATGAACTGATGTATTGTATGTTTTTGTTTCATACAGGCATTAGCTTTATTTGAAGAAAATGATGGCCAGATCACAGCCTTCGTTGAACCATTCGTCATTCTCCTTATTCTTATTGCCAACGCAGTCGTCGGTGTGTGGCAGGTACGTGAACCATATATATCCAAACAACACTTTGTAATGATACATGATTTTACAAAGAAAGCAATAGATCGCATAAGCAGGCATGACCTTGTGGTCAGGTCGCTCGAGTCGTAATCTGTGGGGCGCGGTTTCTAATCTCGTCATCGAATAAGATCTCCATTCAGTAGAAGGAGCATTATAATGCATTGGTCCATCCCACTTTTACGTTACTAAAGAGTAGATCAAGAGTTGGCGGTGGGTGGTGTTAATTAGCTCTATTCTGTCACTTATAAATTAGGGGCGGCTAGCGCGGATAGCCCTCGAGTAATTCTGTGCAGAATTTAAGAAACAAATACATGAGCAAGCTACACATATTTTATTAAAACGTTTTATTTATGACGAGTTATTCGTAATACAAAGAATATTGAATTCCCAGAAGCACTTTTTTTTTTTTACTGGAATTTACTTTGGTGAAACCTACCCTAGTTTTTACGTGACTCTTTTTTTGTCTCTTGTGTATTTGTGTGTTCTCTAACAAAGAGTGATCTAAGAAATAAGGCCCGGCATGCCCATGTAGTTAGGGCGCTCGACCGAGAGTCGCGGGTTCGAATCCCTATCACACCAAACATGCTCGCCCTTTCAGCGTTATAATGTGAAGGTCAATCCCAGTATTCGTTGGTAAAAGAGTAGCCACAGAGTTGGCGGTGGGTGGTGATGACTAGCTGCTTTCCCTCTAGTCTTTCACAGCTAAATTAGGGACGGCTGGCGCAGATAGCCCTCGTGTAGCTTTGCGCGAAATTCAAAATAAACAAACAAAACTAAGAAATAAATTTCGCCATTTGTCAAATTAGTTGATCTAGTTCTTTAGCTATTTAAGCTTCTGTACTATTTAGATACAATGTTGTCTAACAGAAAGCTATAAGAAATACAGATTTTGGAAATATTATACACGGAATAATCCAGAAGATGAATAACAAAGCAAAAACACGTTTACAAACACACACACACAAAATATTTATTCATACAACTAGTACTCCTTAGGACCTTACCTGTGCTGGTCGTCATCTTTGTTAGGTATTGGAGCAGATTAGAAGCATGTCTGCACACGACAACAATCAGAATCGTAATGAATCAATAATAATCATTACATATATATATATATAT